CAAGCCGATACAAATGATTCACTTTCTTTCTGCAGGTCTGGGTCTCCTAGCAAATCGCATTCTACATAATGTCTCATCATCATGTATAGACATATGTAGTCTGATGCTTTGCATTTTACTGAGCGATGTTCTTCATCGTTATGCGATACAAAGGCTTCGTGTAGTTGCGAGGCTTTCACTCCTCGGCTACGCGGGAACCTCCAGTCGGACTTCATAAGATCAGCCCACATCGAGAATTCCAGGCCCGCCTTCTCTTCGCACGCTCGAACGAACGCCGTGCATTCTCTGGCGAACACACCGTGTTGTAGGAAGTCGTGAACCCAGTCCGAACGATAAATTTCAGCAATGCCCAAAGCTTGGGACAGCTCATGATCAGCAAGAATCCCCTGCTCATTTGGATGAAATCCCATGCCTTGTTCCAACTCTTTGAATTCTCCTACTCCCATTAACCCGTTGTCAAAGTCATGTTTGGATGCAACCATAAATGCCATTGTTTCGACCATTGTGTCGGTATCTAGCTGGGTAAAGTTTTCGAACTCGGTGCAACAAATATCGAAAGCTCCTGGGATCAGTGGCAACCGTTTTTTCCAGCAATTAGAGCATAGAAGACATGGTTTGTGGCTGCCAGCGCCCATCCAATCATACACCATTCGATGCCCGTCTAAATCTGTGAGGATCATTCCGACGTCAGCGAAGATCAGCGTTGTCTGCCCTTGTATTGCAAGGGGTACGCCTGCAGCGCCAAAAGAAAGCTGCCCATTTACAATGTCTCTCAGCAGCACCTTGAGCAGTGATGACCACCCCCCTGGAGTCTTTTGGATTATAGTTGACCTCAGCGTCGCAAACGTTGTCCAGCATGCCCCATGGCATAGTACGGACGGCCCTAGCTGTAGAAACGAAAAAGATACAACCATCTGCTTTCGTAGGTTTTTGGGCTTCTTTTTGTCGCCTGGCGTGTATTCGTCCATGGCTAGAATAAGCTTCCACCGAGAATCTAAGGAGGATGGATGACGACGCAGGGCCTTCGCGAAACATTCCTGTAAGTCAGGGGACACGGCAACTATTTCCTGGAGCGCTAGCGCTGGATGGGCTTTCTCCCATTTGAAGGGCGTCCCATCCTTCAAGTTGAATTGCGTGTCAGAGCGAACTTTTTCAAATATTGTCTGATTGGCTTCGCGCAAAGTTGATATCCCAACTGTCTCCCCAGAGATCTTAGAGATAAGCGAACGCAGGCCATGAAGGGAAGTGCCCCCGCGTGAAGAGCTGATTGCCACCTCAAACGTTTTGGCTCCCGCCCTTGGGCCATGAGCCACCAGCGGAAAAGCCGCTGCGACGAGATGTTGATGATGGCAATGGTGATGGTTGTGGTGTTGGTATCGCTGATGGTTAAGATGGTGATGGTGATGGTGATGATGGTGGTGATTTATGTGGTTGATGGCAATGATGTAATCCTCTCACCTCACCCTCGTCTTGCTTCCTCGCAATACCTGCATCATCGTATTTAATCCTATTTAGTCCTGCATCATCCTATGTAATCCTATTTAATCCCCTACGTAATCCTGCATCATCCTCCTATTCTATCCTGGACCCTCCCCTTCCGAGGCCTCTGGATTTTCACCGTCTCTCAGCCCGGACTTTCTGATAAAAACAGTTGCACGTGGCACGGTGAGTTGGGCCGTCGCGCGTCCTCAACACGCAACTCACTGACTCATTCAAAGAAGCGTGGAATACAATTGTTTTGCGATTGCCCTGGAACAAAACACCCTCGTGTCAGTCGAACCGCGAGCCGATCGACAGCAGCTGCTCCACCGAATCGTTCTTGCGCTTGATGTCTCTGATGAGCTCCTGCGCAAAGGAAGAGGAGGGGGAGGAGGTGGAGGAGGAGGAGGGGGGAAAGGTAAGAAGGAGGACATGAGGATGAGGTATTTTTTAAAAGCGAGGGAGGTGGAGTAGAAGGGGCGTCCTTCGCCTTGCTGGCGTCGCTCACGTGGCGGATGGTGACGTCGGTCTCTCCAGCCTTCACCTCGTCAAAGTCCGAGATGATATCCCTCAACAGCTTCCTGCTGCTCTCCACGTTGTCGCGCACGCGCTGCCTCAACTCGCCGAAATTGGGGTTCCTGACGATTTTCTCCGTCTCCTTTTTGAGGTCCTTCATCGGATCGTAGAGGCTATCGACCATCTTGAGCTGCTGATTGTTGTTCTTCTCGTTGTCTTTGGCCAGCTGCTTCTCTCTCTTGGCGTGCTCCCTCTCTTTCTGGGCCTGTTTCGCGGCCCTCTTCTTCTCTTGTTTGGCTTTCTTTGCCTTATTATTCTTCTTGGCCTTCTTGGACTTGTGCTTATCGCTGCTGGAACTCGAGGACGAACTGGAACTGTCGCTGCTGCCGCTGTCTTTCGCCTTGGCGCCGCTGCCGTTCGCGCCAGTGCTCTGGCCCGCAGAGCCGCTAGCCTGCCCAGGGTCATCGCTGCTCTTGAACTTTTTCTTGTCGTGCTCTGCTTCCCCGACGCTCTCTTCTGCCTTGCCTTTATGGCCGCGGATCCCAGAGCTGCGGATAGGGACCCTGTATGTGGTTCCCACAACCTCGTGTTCCTCAATATCTTTCGGCCTGCTGTTCTGCTCGATCCGCTCCCTGTCGAACCCTCTCGTCGCCCACACGCTGAGGGGGAGAAACTCGCCCCCCTCGGCGTAGAACTCCTCGTGGGCCTCGTAGTTCTTGCTCATCTCCTTGAATTTAGCAAAGACATCCTTGCCGCTGGCAGCGCTGGTGATGTTCCGAATGTCGCTCATGAAGGTCTTCCTCGCATCTGGACTCATGTACTCCATCTTCCCCGTCAGGCCCTTGCCGAACTCCTGGCCCAGCTGCGACAGGTGGGTGTTGCACCTGTTGCATTGGTACATGCCTTTGGCCTTGTTCCTCAGGCGGATGCCCTCGTGGCGTTGCACCTCGTGGCCGCAGTCCATGCAGCAGAGGCGGCACTCGCTGCAGAACTTCGGGACCGTCGACAACATTGACCTTTGAGCAGCAGGAGGCCGTGGCTGATCAGGCGCCGCAGGTGGCCGAGGTGGACCTGGTGCTGGAGGTGGCGGAGGCGGCGGCTCAAGGTCTGGCCCCGCGGCCTCCTCGCGTGGCTCAGGGGCCTCCTCGTGGTGCTCAGGCGCTGCCGCGCGCGCCTTGGCCTTGGCCTGGCCCTTGGCCTTGGCCTGGCCCTTGGCCTTGGCCTGGCCCTTGGCCTTGGCCTGGTCCTTGGCCTTGCCCTTGCCCTTGCCCTTGCCCCTGCCCTTCGAGCGCTTGCCCTTCCCCTTGGCCGAAGCCGCTGCGCCAGCGGCGAGGCTCTGCATGATGGGGCTCCCCAAGACGCGACGACTCGGCCGCCTCGAGATCGGCGCGTCCGAGTCGTCATCTGCTGGCTCGCCAGCAGCTTGCTCGTCATCTTCCTCGGCTGCTGGCTCTCCGTCGTCGCTGCTGATCTGGCCGCCGTCGAGGGCGGGGTCGTGGTCGAGCGCGCCACCGTCTCCGAAAAGAGTCCTCTCCCTCTCTGCGAGCGTTTGCCCCGTCTCCTTGCACAAGGGGCACTCCACGTCCAGCAGCTCGCAGACATTCGTCTCGCAGAGCGTGTTCACGCAGTAGGCGTGGTAGCGGTGGGCGCACATCATCGTGTGGATTGGCTCGCCAGAGCCATCTTCGAGAGGGCCCTGACAGATGGCGCAGTCGTTTTCTTCAAGCCTCGCCATGGTGGATTGGCGAGTAAGGCGCGATCGGTAGCTCTCAGATGCGGCAGCTTGAGCCGCTGCAGCGGATAAGCCGCTGGGGGTGGAGGAGTGGAGGAGCAGGGTGAGGACAGGCGTTAGCAGGTCGTTAGCAAACGCGTTAGCAACATTAGCAAGGGCATTAGCAACATCTTGCTAACGCGCCGCTAACCGTTAGCAACACCCGTGCTAACGTTGCTAACCGTTAGCACGGATTGCTGCTAATGCGAATGTATCGAGTGGTGGCGTTAGCAGCGTTAGCCGCTAACCGTTAGCACCATTAGCAAGGGCATTAGCAACAATTCGCAGCCCGTTAGCACCACATCTGCTAACGTTGCTAACGCGTTAGCAACACAGCTGCTAATGTTGCTAACGCCACCGCTAACGCCCCGCTAACGCGCTGCTAACGCGCTGCTGACGCGGCCGCGCGGCCTCTCGGGGGCCCCTGGGGGGGGGGGGAGGTGTCTAGATGGCCCCCAAGCACACCCAAAACAGATCTTGCCCACTAAGGCTTTTTCAGGGGCAGAAAGCTGGTAGTGGGCAAGAGGGGGACTGCTGGGCCTTGTTGGGAACCTCTAGGGCCTATTGGGAACCTCTGGGGTCTCTTTTGGGGGGGGCTCTCTTGGTGGCTTTTGGAGCGTTCTTGGTGGCTCTTGGGGTCTCTCGCCCTGGCCTTAGCCTCATATCGCCTGGCACTGACCGAAACATCCCATCGCATGGCATTACCCGCCCATCGTTGTTTTCCCGCCTTAACCTACCATTGCCTCCTCTTCCTCCTCCTCATCCTCCTCATCCTCCTCATCCTACTCTTCTTCCCTAATCTTTCCTTTGTGTTCCTTTTCCCCCCATTCGTTCCTCGCCATGCTCATCCTCTTCCTCTGATCCCCCAAAGGCCGCCAGAGAGGATCTCTTCCAGTCGCGCCGTTGTCTGCGTCGCGCCTCCGACGATTGCAACTAGCCCCTAGCGCTGCCCCAAAGCGAGAGCATGCAAAATACAATTGGCGAAAACGTGCCGGCACGGACGTGGAGTAGAGACGAAGGAATATGTGGACGGGGGATAGGGCAGGAGGGAGGGACGGGGGGGGAGGACGGGGAGAGAAAGGGAATGAGGAGGATGAGATGTTAAGGAACGAATGGTGGAAGGATGAAGGGAGGGGGATGGGGCAGGAGGGGTGAGGAGAGAGGCTGGATGAGATGTAAATGGACGAAAAGGTGAGGAAGCAGGACTGCCATGCATTGCTAGCTGCCAAAATGGTCAGGCTGCGCAGTTGGCGTCGTAGACTGCCGCGGCGCGCCTGTAGGCCTGGCGCGCCAGGTCTAGCGCTTTCTCCTTGGGCCATTTGGCACCAAGAGCCCGAGTCTTAGCCTTGCCGTACGCCGCCGAGGCGAAAGCATTTTTGGTGCGGTCTTTGTCGCTCGAGCTCCACCCGACGAAATCTTCGACTGATATTTTGGCGAGCGTCTGCGTCGCCTTGCCAGCTTTCAAGGCGACCCGTGGTTCTCCTTTTGCACTGTGTTGTTCGGGGCTATTGTTTGCAGGCTTGGCCCTCTTCATTGGGGGGGGTGGTCGTGGCTGGAGCCTCATCGCCGTCCTCGACGTAGGCCTCGTCGGCATCGCCTCCACTGGCGATTGGAGGCTTTGCAGCGGCAGGTCTCTTCATCGCCGCCCTCTGCTTCGCGTCATCCCGCTTCCGCTGCATCACATCCATCGCGTGCTGCACGTTCGCACAAAGAGATGCCCTCGGACGAGCGGGAAGTTGATGACCAGGAACAGGAGGGAATGATGGAGTCCCGCTTGTAGGCGCAATCTGTGGCGGGCCTGACACGTCACATAGTTGTTGCACGCCTGCTGGTGCGGCAGCCGGTTGAGACTGCCCTGCTTGGCCATCTGCTTGCTCTGCAGCGCGGGGCGGCAGCAAAGCCAGTACTTCGACAGGTGGAGGGCGTGCTGCTGCCGCTGGCGCCTCGGCTGCTGAATCGCCTGCCGCTGCCCCATGCACTTCTTGAAAGCCGCTGCCCGCTGCAAGTGCTCGGTGCCTGGATGGCCGACGAGGCGCATCGAAGGCATCGAAATTCGCGCTCCTAAGTAGATCCTGTGGCTCTGGGCCGTGACCACCATGTCCGATCGCACGTGCTGCAAGCTGCGCCAGGAAGTTCATCTGCTGCATCTGCTGCATCATGAGCCGCTCCATGCTGCTGCTGCTGCTGGTGTCGCTGTCACGGGTGCAAATGGCTCCAGAGCTATCCGCGCCGCGTTGAGGAGTCGTCCCCCCGCGGCATGTGTAGGAGTCGTCGAGCTCTCGGAGCTTCCTCAAGTCCAGCGGGCACGCTGATGGCACGTCCTCAGCTGTGAAAGCCAGGTGGTATATCTGCGGGAACTTGGTCAGCAACTCGGCTGGAGATCCTGGAAGATCTTGAATGAAGACGGGTGGCGCTGGCGCCTTATCCGCTTGTCGTCGAAATTCTCGTTTCACATGCTCCAGGTTCTTCTTCTTGGCCCAGTAATTCAGCTGGTCCACGTTCTTATCTGTAATGAACATCCACGTCGAAGTCACAAATTTCATGCTGTATTCGCACGGGTTGGTCCCGCCTAGGCGAATGATGCGTTGAACGAGAATGTTGAGCGCCGCGTGTGCAGGCACTTCATCTCCCAGAAGCCTGCTCCAGCCAGCCCTGGAAATGTGTGCAAGGAAAGGACGGTAGTCTTGGCCCATTTTGCGTTTGCTGCTGCGCCCGTTTGCAACGTCGTCGAGGCCAGCCAGCGCTTCCATGATTGGCACGTCATGACCTTCAAAGAAATACACCTGCCCAACCCTGGCCGTCAGGTGGGCCTTCTCCTCCGAGGATAGCTGCGGCCCGTCTTTCTTGATCAAGGCCATGACCGCAGTAGCCTGCGTCTGAGACACAGGCTTGTGTTGGGGTGTTCCTACGAGATCGCGCAACAAGATGCGTATTGCCCCCAGCCTAGCCCGAATGCGGGTCGATGTCCCTGGGGACGCCATGTCTCGAGCCTATAGCGGGCGTGCCGCTGGAGGGGAGGGCGGAAGGTGCACTGGAGGACGCAACGGAGGATGCGCAAGGATGGGAGGTGGAGGATGAGACGTGGGTCGGACGATGAGGACGATGCTGACGAAGAGGCGGAAGACGTGGGGGATAGAAGGGGAGTGGGGGCGATGACGGGGGAGGGCCGAGGACGGGGGAGGAGGAGAATCACTCACAACGAGCACGACGAGTTAGGATGGGGATGAGGCTGTCCCAGTCGAACCCTCAAGCACTATACCCCCGCAACGAGCCCACATAGTGCGAAGAATAGCCTGGGCCCCCAATCATCGCCATCAACACGCCTGGGTGGGCACACGGCGGGTGCCCGGAATGATGAGAACCCTACGCCCCCTCGAGGTCTCATCCGTCTCCGCCCCGTCCCCGCCCAAATATCGGGATATATATATACAAATCTATATATATATATATATATATATATATTGCGATATATATATGTATATATATAGAGAGAGAGGGATAGGGAAAGAGAGCTTGAGAGAGGGATACGTAGACGCCCCCTAGTGGTTTCACGTGTGTCCCCCCTATATGGTTTCGCGTGTGCCCTCCCTCATGGTTGCACGTCTGTCCCCCTAGCGGTTTCGCGCAGTTTTTTTTTGTTAGGGGGTGCAACGCTGTCAGGAGTCCCCCAGGTTGCGCCAGGGCGAACCCAGGGATGCCCCCCCCACCCAGAGCACCCGCAACAAACTAGAGCCTTCTTGGAGCCCTCGCGCGGCCCAAGCAGGACGCGCCATCGGCACAGTCATATGGGCACATGGGTGGCACAAAACGCACGTGGTGGGCGGGCGAGCCTGGGTGAGTGGAGCGGGCGTGGGTGATGATGATCATGATGGTGTGTGTTTTTGCCTGCGTGCAGCGGGAACCGAATCACGATGCCAGCTAGATGTCTATGGTTGGAGCCCCTTAGAATTCTTGGGCTTCGGATTGTTCAACAGAAACTCGCTAAGACGGCCCTGCTTCTCAGCACGCGCTTTGGCGGTATGCCACCGCACATTCTCGTTTTTTGTGCCTCCGCGGGTGCCCCAGCGAGGTCCGTCAGGATGGCCTGGCCTACAACGCTTCACTCCGCTGCCCTTCCTGTTCATTTTCGGCCGCTGCGCCTCACTCACGGGTGCATCGGGGCCACGACCATCTTCAGGAGCCAGGGGGCCATCGGGGCCACGACCATCTTCAGGAGCCAGGGGGCCTTCCTGTGCATGTCCAGCTGCGAAAATATCGGGGGCCCAACCGTGGAGATCTCCAGCTGCGAATTGGTCGGGGGCCCAACCATCGATGTCATATTGCGGCCCATGGACTGTTGCGGACCCCGAGCCGCTCGAACTTGACGCACCCCAGGAGACGTGAACGTATTGAGGGTCGCTGCTGAGCGAGATGGGCGTGGGCATGTCGGAGCTCGATCCAACGGGTTGGTAAGCGCACGCCCGCTGCCACTCAATGGGAAGGGGCTCGATCGGCCCTTCTTCGGCCATGTTCCATATATCCCAAATTTGTGAAACCATGCCAGGGGCGCTGACAAGCCAAAGGCGAGCCACTAAGTATAAACAAGGGGGCGGCACGTCTGAGCCAAAACGTCGGAGTGAAGCGGACGACCCGCTGGAGGAGGAAGAGGGAGAAAACCTTTAACCCCACCGACAGGGGGAGGGTTTCCTGTTGGGCCATTGATATCAAAAGGAGCTCTATGTTCACGAGTTGGACTTGGTTTTCGCGAGTGATATCGCGCCCGCTGAATCCCAAAAACAGCGCCCCAGAACTTATGGAACTTATTTTACTTAGTTTTATACCTACAAGTTCGTTTGAACTCGCACAAAAACTTAGAATCATAAGTTCCGTAACTGTTTTTTGTAAGACTTCATGTTCTATATGTGTTTCAAGTCCAGCCAGTTGTATCAGGCGGACCAGTGTACCGGTGGACCCTGGTGGATGACCAGTGGACCGGTGGACGATTGGTGGACCAGTGGACCGACGCATGTTTTCCACAATTTTGGGCAGGGGCAGGTCCATTGCTGGTGCTGGACCGTCTCGACTGGGGGAGGTAAACGTCTCTGGGCACGGCTGCGGAGAGTCCTGGCGGTCGGGTTTATCAGGGTGTATCCTTTCTCTTGGACCGAGCGCGCCAGTGGCAATCCTCCCGTGTATCGCTGCATGTCCGTGCCGCTGGTATTTCCTTTGGACACATATTTTGCGTATCAGCACGCTGAGGTCGGCTCCGTCTTTGAGGCCAGCCACGCAGACATGATGAGCAGCATAGCCACCCAGATCTCATGTTTGAAAGCCCTTTCTACTTCAGCCAGAACGCCTTGCTCACACCCTGGACGAGATCCTGGTAATTACATTCTCTAGGTAGAAACGGGGTCGGTCTGGTGGAGCCTCCTCGGGAACCAGGCAGTAGGTGCCACCGTAAGGGGTCCTTCCACTGTCAGGGCAATTGGGTCCCAACCGCCCTGGAGGTGTTCACTAGGTAGCAGTGGGCCCTTGTGCCCCTGTGACTTTCCCCTCATTGGAGGGTGGCGGTGCGCATCGTGTCGACGCAATTGGTCCAGGCTGCGGCGACGGCCGCCCGCTCCCGCATGAGGGCAGGCAGAACGTGAAGCCACGCCCTGACCACGTCGTAGCGGGTGTGAAAGACACCTGGTCGTCTTTCGGGCCAGGGCTGAGACGGATGGCTGCCGCGGCAAGTCGAGGCCGAGATCCCTCGTCTTCGTGGCAACTTGAACTGCACTTCTCCTTCTCCGGAGCTCACGAGCATAGCGCTACTCCATGGGAGCAGGGATTTCCCTGAGAGTCTGAGGCCCTGTGTCCGCAGGGCCCTAAAGAGAGTTGAGGTCCCCACAGTCATGAGCTGGTGAACGATGGCTTCGGGACCTCTGATGGCCATGAAGGTGTCATCTACCCATGTGCTGAGCTCCATCGCTCGGTACCGTGCGTGTGTCTCGGCTAGCACATCGCACAAATAGGCGCGCGTCCAGTTTACATTTTGCATGCACCCCTGGAGGACAGACCACTCGAGGCTCGACTGGTGAACCACGAAGCCTCAGGACCCACTGTAATGATCCCACCTGCGGTGTGCACGCGCATGCTACTCGAGGCCCTTCCCTAGCACGCACACCCAGAACGGAGTCGAGCTGTCACAGGCTTTCGCAGCATCGCGCAGCAGCACGGCCCAGTCAAGTGAGATACAGCCGGCTGCTTCTGCCTTGGCTAGTCGAAGTAGGGCCGCGCTGAGTGGATTGAATCCACGCTCGGCAGCATCCCGAAAGCCTGGTCTTCCTTCTTCCCAGGATGCGACGGGCTCCTGGCGGAGCTTGAGCCAAACCCGGTACAGCCCCTGCGTCTCGGTGGTCGGTCGGTCGCTTTCCCCCGAAGGCTCGGGCTGCACGCCTGCTTCCTCGAGCAAGATCTGTTCCGGCCAGGCGCAGTGGCTCTGCTTATGTCGCGCAAGATGGCGCCCAGCTCGGTCTGGCCATCGTCTGGCAAGTCGCACAGGAGCTCGGGGTTCCACCTGGTCCGCTCTCATGGCCGTTGGAGACTGGGAAAGGTTGAGAAGCTGCAAGAACTTGTGGACTATGGAACTCGGGCTGTCCCGGCTCTTGATCAGCCCTGCTCCACGAAGTGCCACCCCCGATTTGCCTGCGCCAGCTGCCAGCTTGTCTTTGGCTGCCTGGACACCCCCATCGCGGCGGTTGCCTTGCCACTGCCGTTGTTGCCATTGCCACCGCTCGATGTGCTCGCCCCTTCTTTGTCGCCCCCGTATATCCAGTCGAAGCTGCGGCGTCTGCTGGGGCCGGGTCCGCTTCCGCGTGCTGCCCATCGGCTTGTTGGGCGTCTCCGGCAGGTGGTTGGGCGCACCGCCGGCGGCAGTGGTGTCCCCTTTGGCGTCGCCCTGACTGGTAACGTCATCGTCGTTCGTCCGTCGCTATTTGCTTCGAGTCGCTTCCACAGCGTTTATTGTTCGGCTTTGGAGTTCCAAAGCGCTAGACTTGAGCTGCCCGAAGCTCTGTTTGACCACGTCGGCGAAGTGAGCCTGGAGGGCCTCGATCTTGATCGGAAACCACATCTCCCAGCTTCTCCAGGCCCAAGAGCCCCTAATATCAAGCTCAATTCTGTCTGTCAAGTAGCCCCCAAGTCCAGCTTGGCGCGGGTGAGTCTTGTTGTGGCGCGGCGTCCGAAAATGTTGTCAGCTCCTGTTGGGCCTGAGTGAACTGAGCTTCGAGCTTCTCGCGCCCTCCGACTGCCCTTTTGAGTTGGGCTTCTCTCTTTTGAACTCAATTTTGTGCTTGGCCCGCGGCCAGGTTCGAGCCGCCCCGCCCACCGTCCGACGCCCTGGTCACCGTCCGACACCCCGGTCACGCTCGACCTCGGCCCAGCCGCTCACGAGAAGGCTTTCGCCCATCTCGGGAGGAACAAGGGGGTCAGCCTGGACCGAATGCCAGCAGAGGTCCTTCAGGTCGGCGGCAGCGCGGTTGCAGCTCGGCGTTCCGGGGTGTCAGCTCGCGTCGCTGCGAGCCCTTCTTAGCCCGCCCAGTGGCGAGGAGGTCGGAATATCGACTTGTGCAAGGGCAAGGGGGGGGCGCAGCAGACTGCGACCAGAATCGTGGTCTCCTGGCAGACCACGCGTCCAAAGCAGTCGCGGGGATCATCCAGAAAGCGCGCGACAGGGAGTACGAGGCCAACGTGCCGCGCGATCAGCAGGGCGCTGTTTCTGGCAGAGGCGCCGACTTCGCGCCGCATATGATTCACTTGGTGATCCAAGCAGCGGAACTTTTCAGCGGTCGATTTGCGTCCTCTTCATTGACCCAGTTATGGCGTTTGACCGTGCAGT